AACCACTCTGTTATTGTCCACCAAATTGGCCAAGCTTGCCAAGAATATGGTTTTTTACAGGTTTCCATCCTGTTCCTTCACTTCTTTTTTTTTTTCTTTTTTTTTTTCTTTTTAAGTTTTATTTCAAAGAGTCCAAATGTCTTACTAAGTTTTGTTGCATTAATTGGATCAGGTGAAGAACCATGGAGTGCCAGAGGCAATGATCAACAACATGGTAAATTTAGCTAGAGAATTTTTCCGGTTACCGGAGAGTGAGAGGCTGAAGAATTTCTCCGATGACCCTTCCAAGGCTAACAGGCTTTCTACTAGTTTCAATGTCAAGACAGAGAAGGTTGCCAACTGGAGAGATTTCTTGAGACTACACTGTTTACCTTTGGAAGACCACGTGCTCGAGTGGCCTTCAAATCCTCCATCCTTTAGGTAAAACTCCAGTTGATTTACCTGACAGCTTAAACTTTTAAATGAGATAGTTTAATTCAATTAAGTTATTTGACAGGAAGGTTGTCGCGGAATATTGCACACGTGTTAGAGGGTTGACGCTGAGACTGCTTGAGGCCATTTCCGAGAGCTTGGGACTGAAGAGAGATCACATAGACAAGACACTAAGTAAGCATGGTCAGCACATGGCCCTCAACTACTATCCACCCTGTCCCCAGCCAGAGCTTACTTATGGTTTGCCTGGACACACTGACCCTAACCTAATCACCATCCTTCTGCAAGACGATGTTCCTGGGTTGCAGGTTCTGATTAACGGGAAGTGGGTTGCCGTTAATCCCATTCCAAACACTTTTATTATCAACATTGGGGATCAAATGCAGGTGATTTAGTACTGACTGCAAAAGGAACAAGAGATTTTATGCATCTTTTCTTCTCACTCATGTTTCTGAATTGTAACAGGTTATAAGCAATGACCGATACAAGAGCGTACTTCATCGAGCCGTGGTGAACTGTGAAAAGGAACGTACGTCCATCCCAACATTCTACTGTCCGTCACCGGATGCTCTGATAGGTCCAGCGGAGGAGTTGATTGACGACGAACACCCTGCCGTCTACAGGAATTTCACCTATGCTGACTACTATAAGAAGTTTTGGAACAGGGGACTTGCTACAGAGTGCTGCTTGGACATGTTCAAAGCTTCAAATTCTTGATTTATCATGGCCTTTTCTTTGATTGTAATCTGTATTTGAAATAGATTTCCTCATAGATGAGTAGATCTCTTGGCCACGTCACATTGGTTATGTTGAAGATAGCAATTTATAGTTGGGAAATGCGATTGGAACGATTTTTTTATCTTATCTTTTTGTATAATTCTTGGTTATGTAGATTTTCTCTGAGGTTGTAAAAATTTTCTCTGAGGATGATTCCAAAGGTTTTTCATAGATCACTACTGGAAAACTGGGCAAAAACGATAAATACATATTCAACAGTCAAGTAGTTGTCGAATAAAAAGACATATTCGACACCATCATTGTCGAATAAGGTTGATTGTCGATGATAATTGATTTTTTGCCACATAATCGACAGGAAACTTATTCGACAGAATAATTGTCGAATATATGGTTTTATTC